AAAATGTAAATAAACATTGAAAAATGTAAATAAACAAAGCTAGAATGTAAATAAACATTGCAAAATGTAAATAAACATTGAAAAATGTAAATAAACAAACCGAGAATGTAAATAAACATTGAAAATGTAAATAAACAGACCAATGTTTGTAAACAAACCGAAAATTCAACTCTCAGACCCAGAATTCATCAAATTTTCGAAAATTTTTGTAAATAAACATTGCAAAATGTAAATAAACAAATCGAGAATGTAAATAAACATTGAAAATGTAAATAAACACTCCAATGTTTGTAAACAAACCGAAAATTCAACTCCCAGGCCCAGAATTCATCAAATTTTCGAAAATTTTTGTAAATAAACATTGCAAAATGTAAATAAACAAACCGAGAATGTAAATAAACATTGAAAATGTAAATAAACAATCCAATGTTTGTATACAAACCGAAATTTTAACTTCCAGGTTCAATAATATTAAATTTATGTAAAACTGGCTGAAAAATTCAAAAGTTTCGATAATTTCAAGAATTTGAATTTCCCAGAAAAATTTATCGTGCGACCTCCTGTCAACTCATGTTCTCCTAATACAAAATCGAATTTTTGGCGAAAAATTTCCTGCCTTGATGTGTTTCGATAATTCCAAGAATTTGAATTTCCCAGAAAAATTTATCGAGCGACCTCCTGTTAACTCATATTCTCCTAATACAAAATCGAATTTTTGACGAAAAATTTCCTTCGTTGATAAGTTTCGGTAATTCCAGGAATTTGATGTCATTTCCAAGAACTGTCAAAATTCCTGGAAAAATTTCTCGAGCGACCTCTTGTCAACTCATGTTCTCCTAATACAAAGTCATATTTTCGGCCAAAAATTTTATTCGCCTTCATGATTTCGAAAATTCCAAGAATTTGACGTCATTTCCAAGAACTGCCAAAATTCTTAGAAAAATTTCTCGAGCGACCTCCTGTCAACTCATGTTCTCCTAATACAAAATCGAATTTTTGGCGAAAAATTTCCTTCGTTGATGAGTTTCGGTAATTCCAGGAATTTGACGTCATTTCCAGGAATTGTTGAAATTCTTGGAAAAATTTCTCGAGCGACCTCCTATCAACTTATGTTCTCCTAATACAAAATCGTATTTTCGGCCAAAAATTTTGCTCGAGTTCACGATTTCGAAAATTTCGGGAATATGACGTCATTTCTTCGAATTTTTTATACTTACCTCTTTAGATGGCTTCTAGTAGAACATTTTTTTATTTTTTTTGCTTAAGACTAATTATAAAATTTAAGTTACATTTTTATTTACTTATTATATTTTATTTTCTTTTTTCAAACTGCCGCTTTTAGATTATATTTTTAGGAAAGGGAAAATAAGGTGAGAAAAAAAAAAAAAGATAAAAAATATATATACAATATATGTTTATTAAATATTAAAGTTATATTACATATACATTACATAATACATATATACATTATATACATTATATTTTTATAATTATATTACATATTATATATGTTGGAATGGTCCCAATTATACATTGTCTTGGTGCTTCCAGTGATTCACTTTCAACTTGGAAATACTGAATCTCGTTGAAATGATGGCAGCGAAGTAAGGGGTTGCTGATAAATGAATCTGCTTGAAAATCACGTTGGTGGTCGATCTTGTTCTCCAAGTGGTTGAATTTGTTTGAGTAATCTTCTTCCATCTTGTGTTCTTCTGAAACAAAGTCGAAAAATTTGCTGAAAATTTTGTTTCTTCAAAAATTTAAAAAAAAATAATAATAATATACTTACTCATCAAAAAGATGGAAAATGAAAGTGTCGTGTGAAAGACTGTAGATGAATAAGCTTATCGATAATTTTACGATTGATCTATTTTTGGAATTATCACTTCAAGTTCGTTTCCTTGTTTGGATGTTAATTCGACACGTGAATCAATGAGAATATATAGGAATTAGAAAAGATTTGATAATTCTGTCGTCATCTTTTTTTTTTCAATGTAATTAATTGTGGCGTTTTCGATCAAGTTTCGATCAAAGATACCTCTGAAAATAATATATATAAATAATGTACGATTAATATTTAATTATTGTGTATTATAAGTAATTAATTATGCAATTGGCATTGATGAAGCTTTTAATAAAAATTTTCAATATAATTAAACTGTTGTATTACATTTCAGATATCGATATCTTTCCCGCTTATCCTACCATTAATTAATTAATTGATCATCAATGAGCCAAGTGCAAAATTATCGTATGGATTTATTAATTAAAAGATAGATCAAGCACAGGTGTGTGCATACGTGTCCAGTGCGGCTCGATTCGTTGCTCGATTTAAATTAGCAAGGTCAAACATAATTCGATACATGACCAGATTTAATCTTCGAGGAACAGATGAATGATTGCATAATACTGTAATGTATAGGAAATGTACAAGGAGACCGGATAGAATTGGATATTAACGTATCATTTATATCAATCATCTCCATAATTATATCTGCGATTATATAGACTGCGTTACTTCATTGTTGGGATACACGTCTTGTTGTGAAACGAGGAAAACAAATTCGATTTCGCTGTCTTTAGAATTATATTAATAATTCTTCTTTCTATAATTTTACCATGCAAATTATTTTCAACCAACTTAAATACATAATTTCCTAATTTGATATTTAAATTAAATATTTCATTTGCATTTTATATTATTAAAATTTATTATCTCCATTCTGTACAAAGAGTAATTTTAAATAATAACATAAAGTATAGAAATTATATAATGCAATTGTTCCTTCGACAAGATGATAGATGTATCCGAGTTTGGAAGATACAAATAAATCGAGAAATAACGAATGATAAAAGACGATTGATCGTGGCCATAAATTGAGACACGATTCCTCGACGACAAAAGAGAAATATAATTAGTAATTCCGAAGGAGCTTAATTTCTCCGTCTGAAAGTTTCACGCGAATCACTGTAGCCACTCGTACGAAAACTTTCGGGGCAGTGAAAGTTCGCCGCTTAGCAATTTCGCGTTCGGGAAATTGATTGGAATATCTCGAAACTTGCGAATTGAAACTGAGAAGTTTCTCTTGGGAGCTGGAAGGGAAAAAGGAAAGGATCAGTCTTGGAAGTTTCAATTATGAAAAAAAAAAAAAAAAAAAAGAAAAGAAAAGAAAAGAAAAAAGGTTAAGAATCAGAATGATCAGAATTCGTTTTTTCGAGAGAAATTAAAAATCATTCTTCTATAATGGTCAAATATACCATCTTTGCGATCTTCCCTTTGTTCCCTATTTTATGCGAAGAAACAAACATCTAACATCTCGAGAGGATGGAAGCAATTTCTTCTAAAGAATTGTCTTTGAAACAAAAATTTCTAAAGTTATACGAGAGAGAGAGAGAGAGAGAGAGAGAGAGAGAGAGAGAGAGAGAGAGAGAGAGAAATGTTCGAATTTCTTGAAAATATCAAGAGGGAAAAAATAAGCATCTGGACAATGACGAAGAGTTTTTAATATTCTGGAAAAATTCCCCTGTTGTATCCTGTTGTAAGGAAGTTATAAATAAAAACGAACGCGGACCTCCTTTATTTCATCGGTCAAAGTTAATTAAAAAGAGCTCGATCAACCTGCTATGTTCAACTATTTAAAAATACGCGAATAAATCGACATTCCAGTCCGTGAGAACAAAGAGGAAATTGCGAAAAAATGAGGAAGAGAAGGAAAATTGTCGAGGAAAAATTGAATGGAAGATGAAGAAGGGTCTCAAAGGGGAGGCAAGAATCGTGAGAAGGGGGTGTCGATTCTTCTAGCAAAGTTTTTTCAACCGTTGTTTCCTCGACGGGGGTCGAGAGGTTCGTCTGTATGGAAAAAAATAACGATGAATCGCGACGATTGACGGTCCAGCGCGTTTTGTTTTCGCGAACGAAAAGTCGTCGAATGAAATGGTCGTAGATCGTAGAAAGTGGAGGACACGAGTGGCGAGAATGGCGAGACTGTCTCTCTCTACTCGATGTCGAGTTTCGTTTGAAAGCTTTTGCTCGTTTCTTCCTTCTCTTCGATCGTTAATTAGAGATTTTACTTTGAAATTCTCGGTTTTATCAAACTTCTAGACGGATTTCCTGATTTCTAATTTTTAAACTTTTCAATTTAAACCTCTCAAACTTATAGATAAGTAGGGATCAGAGGGAGCGAAGCGCGCGAAAAAAGGGGGTCGAAAATCATTTTGGGGAAAAAATAATTTAGAACAAGATAGAGGAAGAAGGGATATTTTCAAGAAATTTCATAGTGACAGTAATTGAAACGTATTTCACCATGGTGGAAAATACAGGTGGATTTTTTCCTGGACGTTCAGATTCGTCCAATAATGCCAAGGTAACGGATGCGAAATTCTCACTAACTTTCCCTCCATTTTCTTTTTCTTCATAGTTCCCGCAGAATTTATGCGAGACGCGGAAACTTTTCGCTGACAACAGGGGAATCTCCTCCCTTGATCCTCTTGAAAATCACGCGACACTTCTCGTTCGGAAAAAAGAAAGGTAGAGAAGGAACCGAAAAAGAGAGAGAGAAAGAGATAGAGAAAGAGAGAGAATAATCTTTAAACAAATTAAAAAATATTTAATTATCTTATAATCACAAATAAAAAATTGTTTATCACAAAGGAAAATTGTTATTAAATTATTATTCCCTTGAATGGCTAATTCGTTAGACACTCACCTCCTATACCGGTCCAAAGTAAATTATTCCCCAGGCATTGGAACGATTTAAGCCCTGTTAAGTCTCCAAAATGTGTTTGAAGTCGGCCAGGAAACTTCTTGTGAGTTAACGTTGCACGTCTTAAAATAATCCAACCACATTTCTCCCGGTAATCCCTTATCCGGAAAATGGAACAAACTCGGTAGGTAAACCGGTCTGATCCCGTGGAAATTTGTGTTCGTAACTATAATTGAATCTGTAACGTTCAATCCATACTCTTGGAATTCCAACACCCACGGCAACAGCGAATTCCATCAAACTTGAGTTCCATCTCGTTGTATTATATATATATATCGATTTATCGTATTACATTAAAAAAAAAAAACAATATATATCAGCTTCTGCAACGATCTCTAGTAACTATACACGATCACGTCTATCTTAATACTATATGCCTCGTTCCTTTTAATTTTTCCTCGAAAGAAATCGTAGCACGTTAAGCTTAAGGGGGAGGATAGATCAAAGAGAGAAGATGACTGATAAATTTTCTCCACCAAGACATAATAAAGCAGCTCATTCCGCGCTTTCTTCCCTTTTCTTTTTTCCCTCCCCCTCGCCCCTCCTCTTACCCGTGTGTATCCGTCTCCTCATCTCAGCCCTCGACCCCGTCTCGACTTCCTCCTCTTCTTCGTCACAAGAACCCTCCCCTTCCCTTCATCTCGACCCTTTTACCGGCACAAACTCGCTTCAAATTGCCCCTGGAAATCTCATTTCCACCTTTCCAATCTCCTGAGAACCGATTCTTGCCGAAAAAAGAATTACACGGGGGTTACCAACTGGCACGAGCCATGCATACGACCAGCCCAATGTCGCGTGCTATATGACAGCAAAGGAATGCTGAAAGGTTCGATAAGGGAGGGAGGAGGTCGAGGAGGGAGTGAGGGTGCAAGTATGCAGATGAGGTTACTCTTTTTCTGCCCCTCACCTATCGAGATCATTTCGTCGATATGGTTGACGTCCTGGAAAATTGTAGTTTGCCGGGACTGACTCGCTTCTAAATTCTTACACAACGAATAGACATCCGGTAAAACGATCCTGAGACTTGTTTCTAGACTCACAGTTTCGAAAATCAATTTCTTTTCTTTTTATTATTATCTTTGTTGGATGTCGAGACTGCCTTATTTCAATACCACCGTGCCATTTCTCTTCAAGATTTACCTGAAATCAAAAATATATAAATTTGTTAGAGAAAATAGCTCTATCTGTATCGCTCGTGTGACAGAAAGAGTCTTTAACTTCTACTTAATAATAAGAACTTCTATGCTTTGGACATAGATGAAAAAGAAAATTCGAAATTTATTATTCATATATTAACAGAGTCAGAAAGAAAAGAATTTTCCTACTTATACTCGCTGCTCGTGTTTACAAGATAGATTAAAGAAAACTGTTCCTAAAGAGTATTGAAACTAAATAAATTATTCGTATATTTTCATCCCACAATTCTGTTCATTATTCAAACTTTAATTTGAACCAATTTAAAATTGACTAGATCGAGTGAATTTTTGAAAGCATTGCACGCGATAACTTTATCGCGCAGCCATAATGGAGGGAAATGAACGATTTTTTCCCCCTTTTCCGCCCTCCCGGAAAATTTGCACGCAATTAAACTGCAGTCAGTCGGTCAGTTCAAATTAAACGACTGCTCGATTAATTTTCGTTGGTTGAAATATTCGGTGGGCGACGCAGCTCGGCCTCAAGATAGAATTTAATTATGCGAGTTAGCTTCGCACTCGCGTCGGCCACACCGCGTTTCCGCCGTTTCCTCCGCTCTAATAGGCTTATTAGTTTGTTATTCGGAACTCGACACTGCCGTTGCCCGAAAGTTTCGCGCGAAACCACCGCAGCCCGTGTTAATTGGGTATCACTTCATTCATGCGCGCATACCACTTTTATTTCCCTACATCCTAATTTTAATTAGAGAAATTTGTTATCCCGATATCGCGCCGTGTAGTTCTGCAGTTGTATCTTTCCTATTTATGTATATAGAATTAAATAATCATAATGATATTTCCGATGAATAATGATAGTAAATAATTAGGCGGCAATTATCACCGATAAATATTATAATTTATAGTAATTATAGTATAGTACGTGATAATATTACTATTACTATATTTATCGTAGAATAAATAACGTTAATTTATTTTAAACGGTTCGTTTAAACGGTTCGTTATCTTGGTTTAAAATAGCGAGCATTCATATCATGTACAGAAACTAAACGAGGGAATTACAACGAGAACAATGATTGTTAAGTAATTTAAAAAAAAAAAAAAAGAAATGGAAAAAAATATCGTCATTAAATTGGACGATAAAATTTGCCCATTTTATTACGAAAGGATATAGTCTTTAATGTTCCTTTTAAAGGGCGATTAATTAGATAAAGAGCAGGGGGAACGATTATACTCGAGTGAATGGCTGCGTTTAAAAAACCATCGGCAATATCCCTGGTTCCCATTTAAAACGCGGAATTCTCGTTTACGTCGCGGAGATTGATAGGGATTTGCGTTCGACTTTTGCAGGAAGTGGCTGAACAACCCTTGGGGACAACGCGATTCAAGGTGGAAACAGAAGGGGAAGTCCAGAACGGCAGGGGAGCGTGATTGAATAACCGTGGAAACTTAAACAGAAATTCTGGGTCAAGGTGAGTCTCCCATCGATTTCGATGAAATTTTCATTTCTCCTTTTTTCTTTTTTCCTTTCTCCCCCTCCCCTCTTTTTCTCTATCCGGAACTCGAGCGATACACTAACCTTTTCCTAACGTGATTATTACGAATCCTTCGAACTTTGAAAGTTCGAAGAAGGAGAAGGGAGATTAAAATTCGGCAAAGAAATTTTGTTATTCAATTTCTTTACCGGACGAATATATTAAAATTAAAGCCCGCTTTATGAACCCTGCATCAAAGCTTCGATCCAAAGCGACTAAAACAGGGAGGTAAATTCAACCGAGTTCAATTTTATTTGATCAAAGTAAAAATCTTGACCAGCAAATTACGTCGCTTCTGATCTACAATTAGCTACCGCTATTTCCTTTACCTCGACCACCGCTGTGTTGGCTAAAACTTTCTCCGCTAATTTCTTTCAACTTCTCGGAGAGGAAATGCTTCAGAAAGAGAGAGAGAGAGAGAGGAGGGGAGAAAAGTTGCAAATAAATTTCGATTGCGAGCGAAAGGAGGCCCAGCACCGTGATCGTTGTCCCTGTTGCTAATTAATTTCGACTCGCCGATTTTTCAAGAAAGTTTGAACGAGGTCCGGCGTAACTTACTCGCGGGACGGTAACCTTAAATGAAGTAAAAAAAAAAAAAAAAAAAAAGAAAGAAAAAAGAAAAAGAAAAGGGAAGGGAGGAGACGGGAATAGACGCGACTGGGGTGGCTTGCCTTGGAAATCCTGGAGAGCCTTGGGGTCAGATAGCACGGTGGTGACGGCATTTCAAGTTCGTCTAAGCAGAAACAGAGTCGTTTCCGAGTTAACTCGGATTAATTCTGAAAGTTCCATGAGGTAACCCCTCGAAGGGTTGAACTACGGTGTCGAGCTTTCGCTCAGAGGATCTCAAGGGGGAGGTTGGTTATTAAATTTTGATACTCGGGATTCCTCACTTTCCATGCTGACAAACTTGCGTCGTTTCATCACGCTTTTATATCGGGCAATATTGTTGTGAAACATTTGGAATAATTTAGAGGATGGAAACTTTCTTGGCACGAAAGGGGAGGAATTTTAAATTGAATATTTTTGAATTTAAATTCTTCGCGTTTTTCTATATATGCTTTGAAATCGAAATTTTTTATAATTTTGTCGTTTAAATTTTGGAATTAAAAAATTTCTTTTGGATCGAAGTATTTTTTTTTTTTTTTTCTTTTTTAAAAATTTTCAGGGATTGGATATTATTTGTCACGTAAAGGGGACAAATAAAGAATATTATTAAATGGAAAAGGTAGAAGAATATTGTTAATGGGAAAAATATTTTACTATAAATTTGTTGTACTGTTAGTTCTGCAGGATTTGTGTATATATAGATAAGGAAATAACAGAAGTTGGGATTCCCTGGAGTCGCAAGGCCCGCGTGTCATAGATATACCTGTGTTTGTGTATATACGCGAATTAAGCCGGAGCGAAATTTCAGACCTGAAGATTTCGTCGAACTAATACCCGAGGGGCAAGAAATTGCAAACAAGATCTTGTTGTCGCCAGTAGAAATTAATCCTTCGCGTGCAACAGATGATCCGCTGTTATACTTTGCTCTTTGTTTGTTTTTAAAACTCTATCTAGATGATAGTTAGCTTGGTTGATGAAAAATCGAACAGAGAAGAAAAGATTGATTGTGATAATTACGTAAAAGTACGAACATACGAAAATTTTTGTATAAAATTTTTTGATACATAACTATTTCCTTAACGTAATTTATTTAGAATTTTAAAGATAAAATTAAAAAGTTTTCCAAAAAATTTCTCAAAATATTGAACTTTAGATCTCGATATGCCCTTCTTCCAAACCTATTTTTCAAATGATTAGGGTTTATTTTACGAGTGTCTTTTTAAAAGGAAATATCACTCATAAATCTAGAAATTATTCAGTGAAATATGCTAGACAGAGATACGAAAAGTTTCCAGACGAAATAAATCGACGAGAGAGAACGGATGTTAATTCTAACAAAATTATATCACTGAATGATATGGCTAATAAAATCGTATCTTTCGTCTGACTTTCCCATCTGAGTCTATTTTTATCATTTTATTAGCAAAGTTCTCGTCTCAGATTATTTCTTTGCAAATTTATTTTCTGCTATTTATGATTGCTCTGAGAATGAAATTCTATTTTCCGTCTTGTCACGAATGTGATATTAAATGACAACTCGATACAAGGATCACTTCCCTTGGCTCCTATCCGTCGTATCAAACTACCGTTTCGTCCCTTCGAATTATACGGAAAAAGTTTAAATTTCTTATCGAAATCGAAATTGTCTGCTCAACTAGAAACTCAAAGAATTCTCATAATATTATTTCTAGAAATAATATTTTCTACATCGTTCATTACACCAAATATCATTATTTCGATCAAAATTACTCGTAAAAGAACCATAAAAACCATCATACCATTACTTAAACACTGCAACAAATCCTATTAAAATTGTCAAAACTTTAAACCACTGTAACTTCGAATCTATCCACTTTTTATCGATCAAATTAAGATCGTTGGAAGCGCGAATTCTCCCTCTTTAAAACGCTTTTTGTTTGATCTCGATCCGACTTTTCGTTTCCGAGATATCGTCGTTCGAAGATAAACCTAATTTTTCCCCTTTTTTTCTGTCGCCGTCCTTATCGCACACTCGGTCCTCTCGCTCCTCCTCCTGTTCTCACCTATCTCAACTTAGCGCCACGTGCGCTGGTCAGTGACAGACGCGAGTAAGCAGTTTTTTTTCGAGATTCTTGGAAAGACGTACGCATGTCAGGAAAAAAAAGTAGGTCACCGTGCATTCCAGAATTGCGGAATTCCCTTTTCGTTGCCGTAACTTTAAAACGTTATATCTCGGCAACCGATTGAGATATTAAAACGAAACAAAGCGCGTTTTAAAGGTTGCACAATATGCTATCGCTCCAACATCTTTTCTCTCAAAACTTTACACTTTTTCCCGATGTATTTCGCACTAAAAATTACCATATTACTTTGAAACGTGATCGAATGGTTTTGTAATTTAATTGATCTTTCGTTCAGATATGAAACGTTATGTTACAAAAGAAGGATTGAGAAAGAAATATCGCCAATTTTCCATACAGTTTTATCTTTATATCATCGAACGAAAATCTTGTTTTCTATCGTTGGTCCGCATAATTCTCCCGACAGCGGCGCGTCGTTAAAACAACGTTAGAGCCCACACCTATGGGGATATACACAGTTATTCGCTCGCCCACGGGAAATTGCTCGTGAAAGCTCGCCGTATATGTATAAAAAAAACCCTTTCCAAGCGCGGAATAAATTTTTTTCAAAAGTTGTTGCGGCGATACTTGCTCGTGGACGCGATATCCTCGACTGATCGCGACAGGAGTTTTTATCTCTGAACACAAAAAATATGCCTCTTTCCATTTTCTCGAATGAAACAATGCAACAAACCGAGAGTTTTAAGACGAACTCGAAGTTTGATTTTAAATTTATTCGTCGATCCGATGTTTTATGTTCCTCGATCGAAGCTTTCTGATCGTTTTATAAAAGATATACACGATTATTTCAACAATTAAATCCAACATCGATTTGGACACGTTGCGAATGGTGGATCCACAACCGAGTGCGTTTTATCGTGAATCGATAGGAAGATATACAGTCATTAAAAATGGAACGGCTGATACCGATAACGCCTGTTTTCCGAATTTCGCCCTACTTTCAGTCAGAGATATATCTATTATCGGAGAATCATAAAATACCTGGACGCACGACCGTGTGAAAAGACAAAGATCCGTTTCAACGACTCGTCGCGATTGATAACAACGAGCATGGGACAGAGTTTGTAAGTTTAATCGCAGTCGACGGGCCAGCGCTCCACAGTTCCACGAGGGAATGTGCCGCCACTCTTGGAACGAATATACGTCTCTATGGAAATCTCTAAGAAGTTGAAATTCCGTTTCGATCGTACTTTATACCATCGGTACTCGTCAAAAGCGAATTCGTTTCTCTTGGAAATTATTCGAAGGGATTTCATTCTGCTTCGAACAGATTTGAGAGAAGTCATATCGTGAAAATTGAAAACATTTCAGGGACAAAATTACGCAACGGAACGAGCTTGGATTATCGAAAAGTCGCGCAGTGGAAATCTCTGATGAGATTTTCTTTTTCTCTGCGACGAAAGGAAATTTCGTCTCGCTTCGATACGACGCGTCGTCGTTGTACGCTTTTCTTTCTTTCTTTCTTTCTTTTTTTTGTTTTTTCTTTCGGCGACCACGTGCGTGATGCGGTTACAAAGTAGCCACTCGTGGCACTTGGAGGCATTCTCGAGCACACAGGCCCATCTCCGTTGCTGCAACTGTGTCAAACATTATGCAGGCAAGCGAAAGCCACTTGAAATGCAAATATTTGCAGCGGGAGTAATTAAGGCTCTTGTTGAGTGGAAGTGACGAGCACGTTCAGCTGCTGGATCGGCACCCGTTGTCGAGAAAAATATTTCTTTTCGTACAAAGGACTGCTCGAGCCCGTTTCTCCGCGAATTTTCCACGATTCTTTCAAGTGTTTGGCGAGATAAATTTAACAGAATTTCTAAGAATCCATTTATCCTTAAAGCTTCGAAAAATAGTTGAAGTTTGATTGAAGTTTTTACCTGCTCTTTTGGAACAAACTTTTCAAGTATAAAGAGAAAGAACGATAGAAGAAGATAGTATTCGTAAAAAGAAAAAATAATATTTTTAATGAGCGTGAAATTTTCTCGGTAAAAAGATTGTGAGAAAGATCATTATATTATCGAATTATGGACGCATTCGATAATTTCTGCAGGATGGTAAGGTTGAACATTGTTCGGAATTTTATTTCCACGGCATCCCATCGATTTTCGCGAATTGGAAAATTGTTGAGAAGTTGTGAAATAACGAGAGCACGCCGTTACGGGATCGATATTATTGTACGATTGAGTAAATATTCGCAAGTCCGTTGAAAAATGGTTTTCT